AATAATTCATAAGCTTATGGTCCAATTGGAGCCACTATACACGTCATGTGCATGAACCTTCATACCCGATAAAGTCCTCTTCATTAGTATTCAAGTGATTTTATATAAAGACACATGTCTTTATATAAAGACACATTTGATCTTTATATAAAGACCACTCGAATACTATGAGGATGACTTCATCAGGGATGAAGTATGCATCCAAGTTTAGATGAAGACATAGAGCTTCATCAAGGTCATAGTCAACCCTAATGATCTTTGACTAACGTGCCTGTCTTTGCCTTGGCTCGCAATATCCAACATGTGGGAGCTTCTATTGAATCTGGTTGTGCATGCCTGTGACGTCAAATCTCTATCGAAGTATAAAAATCCATGTTCGTGACGTGTATGGTGGCTCCAGTTGAACCAAAATCTTATAAATTGTTCATGAGTGTTTTAAGCAGTTCAAAAAACTCGTAGATTGTGTTTTATCAGGTATAAAAGCACTCACCTACGCCTCATGCTTTTATACCTGATAAAACACTCCTACTCGTTTTTTAAACACTACATACAGTATGAGTGGCTGTGTTGTATCAGATATAGGCCATGAATACTGTAGATTGCTTGTCAAACGTCTAGGTTAGTTCCTTTGTGTTTCACTAAAATTTTCAAAATTAAAGTGAATCTGCCCAAGAAAATCCAAGTTAAAGTTTATGCAAATGAACACGATTTTCTATCTGATTTACAACACTCTTTGCGGTCGTAATTTCTGTTGCGTTTTCCTCATGAATTATTAATGAGTTTGATAAACGATAAATACAGCATACAGCATATTGCTGTATACAGCATGCCAAAATCACTCAAAAAGCTATTTCATTTCTAGATCTTGTGGCCCCAAATGCAAGTTATAAGATATTGGGGGCCACATCTACTGTACATTCTATACATCTTTATTTATACTTATTTCTATATATACTTATATCTTATAGAATATATTTTTGTGATTATGCATATAATTATTAAACTTTTATATATCATCTTGCAATATTGCAGCTGGGAATTCAACTGCTGGAATCCTCCCTCTTCCAACTGAGAAGCCCACTATCAAAATAAAAGGTAAACAATGAGACACTGAGCCCAGAGGGGCTGGAACCCGGTAACCTCCAACACATGTTATTATATAAAATCTATTGAAATATCCCTTAATTTGAAGTCGTTTTCCCAGGTGTTTGGGGCACAAAATATGAAAAGATTCCTAATATAAAAAATAATGATCTGAACCAACTGAGAATCATATTTCTAGAACTAGCTACCAAAGACAGCTCTTCAAAAGATCTTCAATTGGGCAGAGTAAATCTAAACTCTTTAAACCAAATATACCCAAGTGTACTCCTTCAGCAATCAGAATTTCCAGAAACACATTTTGAACAAAAATGTTTCTTAGAATGAAGGAAAAAGAGATGTTGAGGCGGTTTCAGATGACAGAGTCGAGTTTCTTATTAGTTAATAATTAACTATGGTTTCTTTGAATGTTTCTATAACCTAATTATGTAATTTTCTGGACTTACTTTTTGTCTTTTAGACATCACTCAAGTTCCATCCTTATCTCGCCAAATTCACTGTCTACATACTCTTCTACAGCCTCATCATCCAAATTGTCTTGTCCTCTAATAACAGGATCTTCAGGATCATTGTCAATGCCACTGGCGTTTTGCTGCACAAATTTCTCTGAACTGCGACGTTGAAGTGGAAACTCTTCATTCGCAATGACGTTTTGTGCCTTCTTCTTCTGGTGAATATATAGACATAAATACATCATGTTAATCCAAGTATTATGAACATCCGAGTGAATGTAGTCCTGAGAAGAACTGTTTGATGTGACTGAGGTTTCGACAACCTCAGTGGAAGTCATCTTCAGAGTCAAGTGAAGAATTAAGTCAAAATGGTCATATTTATACTGCCACAATAACAATAGCCTAATTACCTGAATTCACATAACACTACTTGTAAGATTTCACGTAATGATTGTGAAGCAACATATATTGGTGTTTACCAGTAAAAGGAAGAGGTTTTAAGATAGCTGAAAACAGTCAAGCTGCTCGGAATAGAAGAACACAAAGGCACAAATACGCTGAACTGAGGGGCGCATCTGGCAGAAAAAATCGCAAGGCCCTGGCTAAACGAGGAAACATGTTTCCCATGCACATCTTTCCTCAATGATTCCCAGTTTAGCCACATCCGAAACATTGCTGCGTGCAACAAATTTTGCTTCCAAGACGCAAAAAATGTTTTTGCTGTGCGGCAGAAACATTTCATGTTTCCAAGACGCATGAAAACATGTTTCCCGATGTTTCCTGACAGTTTTGCCACCTTTGGCCCTGGCTAAACGAGGAAAACATGTTTCCCGCCCGCATTTCCCCAATGATTCCAAGTTTAGCCACATGCGAAACATTGCTATGTGCAAAAGATTTTGCTTCCAAGACGCAAAAATGTATCTGCTGTGCGGCAGAAACATTTCATGCTTCCAAGATACATGGAAACAATGTTTCCTCGTTTAGCCACCAAAGTCAACATTCTAAAAGTTCGTTACTTAGCAACACTGGCTCTATCTTGAAACTGCGCATGCGCTAGCCAATATTGAGTATACATGTTTCATAAAGTGTCATACACTTTGACAAGCTAAACATATCAAATAATTGTGAAAAATCGTTTCAGTGCCTTTCTTAGATTTTTTCTCTTGAACTTAAACTTTATTTACTATCGAAAACGCTACAAAAAATGCTTTTTTTGCTATCTTCACTGTAGGTTCTTTGCTATTTTCATAGCCAATTTTATCGCAGTTTCCTTCCCTGGCGTCTTCATTGTGTTTAGCTTGTTTGTATACTGAAAACCATCCTGATTTGATCTTTTTCAATGTTCTTTTACATCCTTCGTTAAGTTTAATATTTAATTCGTTTATGAAGAATACTTTTTTCTGATTTTGAAGACATTTTTCTTGTCGAAAACTAAACATTTTTCGCTCGCATACACTACAACTCTTACCAATCAGGAATCGCATGGTAAAAATTGCTCAGCTCGCACACGGAGCTAAAATAGATTTCATGGTTAGAGACCCATGTACTTCACATTCTCTTGATTGTCAGTAATGCTTCATTAATTCTGAATGAATGTAAAATAAACTACATTTTCTCAAAAAAAGATTTGTTAAGCCACACAGCTTATTTCTTACCTTGCAATATTTGACAACTGCAATTATTACCAATAATATTACGACTGGCACCACCACTGCAACAATTATTTTAACTGTTTGCTTTTGATTATGAGAAGTATCTGAGTAAGATGAACAAATTTGAATATCAAAATTGAAAATCAAAACATGGTTTGATACAGAAATTACTACTGTCTTGGAAATTAAATTAGATTCTGTATGAAACATATGACTTCAATTAGATATTATACAGATTATAATGTGCTACTTATTATATATGGACACATGGACTTGTAATTAGAAGTATAATTATACACCATCATATCAGGCACAATAATATAATTATGGACCTTCTCAAAAAGCTAAAAAAACTAAAGAACTTGGATGCAAGGCTAACATGGAAATAAAAAAAGAAATCACACCTTTTTGTATTTCAATGTTAGCCTCACATTCAAGGCAAATTTGAGAATTGAGAATTGAAAATTGAGAAAAACCAGACAATAAATCTCATAACAACAGGGCTTTTAGAATAAGCCATTGGTAACCAGTCATTTTGATACAGGTCGGTTTCAATAAAGGTTGTTTTGATACACATTGTATCGTCATTTTGCAATTGATACATATCTATGTTCATAACATGATATATCAAACAAATGACTTGAAATAACTAGTTACAAAGTGGTAATATCATATCATGATAACGAAAAATTCATTATGACATCACATGTGGTCTACAGTGTAAGAAGTTGATTCAGACAAGTTAAATACTTGCATCTCAGTTGTAAACAACTCAACCCCTGAGATCTATGTTTTGAATGCCTTAATTCTCATATCACAGGGAAGCACAGGTGGCATATTGGTGAGAGTGCTTGTCTCTCACACAGGCGACCCGGGTTCCAGCCCCTCTGGGCTCAGTGTCTCATTGTTTACCTTTTATTTTGATAGTGGGCTTCTCAGTTGGAAGAGGGAGGATTCCAGCAGTTGAATTCCCAGCTGCAATATTGCAAGATGATATATAAAAGTTTAATAATTATATGCATAATCACAAAAATATATTCTATAAGATATAAGTATATATAGAAATAAGTATAAATAAAGATGTATAGAATGTACAGTAGATGTGGCCCCCAATATCTTATAACTTGCACTTGGGGCCACAAGATCTAGAAATGAAATAGCTTTTTGAGTGATTTTGGCATGCTGTATACAGCAATATGCTGTATGCTGTATTTATCGTTTATCAAACTCATTAATAATTCATGAGGAAAACACAATAGAAATCACGACCGTGAAGAGTTCTGTAAATCAGATACAGAATCGTGTTCATTTGCATAAACTTTAACTTGGATTTTCTTGGGCAGATTCCCTTTAATTTTGAAAAATTTAGTGAAACACAAAGGAACTAACCTAGATGTTTGATAAGCAATCTACAGTATTCGTGTCCGTGTTGTATCCAATAAACAAACTCTCGGCTACGCCTCGAGTTTTTGTATATCGGATACAACACAGCCACTCATACTGTATATATTACAAACAGACCATGAAAAATACTGTTTTATAATTTTGTTTGCTTATTATCAAACTCATTAATAATTCATGAGGAAAACACAACAGAAATCATGCCTGCGAAGAGTGTTGTAAGTCTTATACAAAATTGTGTTCATTTGCATAAACTTTAAGTTGGATTTTCTTGGCCAAATTCACTTTAATTTTGAACATTTTAGTGAAACACAAAGGAACTAACCTATACATTTGATAAGTCATATACAGTATTCGTGTCCGTGCGGTATCAGATATACAATCACTCGGCTACGCCTCGTGGTTGTATATCTGATACAACACGGCCACTGATACTGTATATATTACTTATGACACTGGATAATATTCATTGGTTTATTATTTTGGTCATGTCCATGCATATAATTTTTTTCATTACATGTTATTATATGGACCTCCATTTTATATATGCACAAAGAAACCTCTTCTGTGGCATTAGCAAATAAAGCAAACGACTTATAATACAGAATAAAATGTATTAGTCAAAAGTGAAGCATTCATTGATTGCATAGGGGTTTTGAGTGTCTAAATAAAGTATGAATGAGTCTCATTTCATGGATAAACCTTCTTAATACTCATTCCCAGTCCTCCACTTGTTTCTAAAGTGGACAGTAGCTAAATTATTGGTTGAGCTTGTGGGAAATAGTAATGGTAATTAACGGGAATTGAAACCATGAAGAATTATGTTTCACTAAACACTTACACGTATTTGTAGTTGTCATAACATCAGGGCCATTGCTTGAAGGCTTGGGTGTTGGTGGCTCTGCAAGATTACATAATAGCTAGGTGTACCATATTGTAACTATAAAAAACACATCTGACTATATGGTATCCATCAGCATTGCCAAAATGTCAAGTTTAATCAAAATGTTGGGGTGTGAACCATATAAATTAATATACACTGTATGTTATAAGTTAGACAAAAGATAACAATGGATGAAGTCAACAGATTTAGACTTCTTAGTGGGCTGTATACMAGTTTGAGTAGCAGTAAGGCTGAGCCAGAAGCTTCTACATAGCTTTTATTCATAATTATTTTAATAAACATTCCCAGTATTCTTAATGACCCTTGGAACATGCTTTGTGCAAGTTTGTTAAAATTTTRTACTTTCCACATAAGAACCTGTCTCATTTGTTAGACTGAAGCAGTTCTTTTATATATATTGGGTACTTTATTGGCTAAATTTCAGCATGGTGGTTCTTGGTCCACCGATTCTTTTATGCAATTTTTTACTGTTTATTCTCTTAAACAACTAAAAAAACATTCAAAACTGCTTTACAAATGTTTAAAGCTTTAATTGCAAAATAAACAAATAATATCTTGAAATGATATGATGAGTTGATTTATTTCCAATTCTTTGAGCAGAATAACTCTAAAGAAATGAAATTATTAAATTGATGATGTCATATAAAACAGAACAAAGCAACAAAATTACCTGTCGCCATGTTCGTGCAATCGTCTGTGGATCAAAAGAAAAATTTAATATATATTTCATTTTATATATTGGCAATATAATTGTCAAACACTTCTTCAGCACTAGATACTGGCCATAATTTAAGGGT